TCAGTGTTTTCAAGTCAGTACCAACTCATAGTGACCCTGTAGGGTTTCCAAGGAGTGATTGGTGGGTTTGAATCACCCACCTTGTGGTGAACAGTTTAGTGCTATCCTGCAGCACCACAGCACGGTTTATAAATTCACAGTTCAGTTTGTTGAAGTATTAGAGCAAGTCACCCACATTATCATGTTGTTGTGAAGTGCCGTCAAGTCGGTTCTGACCCATAACGACCCTGTATAGAGCTTCTGAGGAGCGGCTGGTGAGCTTGAACTGCCAACCTTGCAGTTCAAACAGCTATGCATTCTGGCTTATTAACCCACAGCGCCACAGTAGGACGCCACATTATCACATTGTTGTTTTGTTGTTGTTATGTGCCGTGGAGTCGGTTCCAACTCATAGCGTCCCTGCACAGGGTTTCCGAGGCTGTAAATCTTTACGGGAGCAGAAAGCCTCATCTTTCTCCCGTGGAACAGCTGGTAGTTTCGAACTGCTGACTCTGAGGTTAGCAGCCTGATTTGTAACCATTACGCTATCAAAGCTCCTTACATTATCACATTAGTAGGTAAATAAACCAAAAACACCCCAAACCAGACCCACTGCCATCAAGTCAGTTCTGACTCATAGAGATCTTCTGTAAGGTTTCCAAGGCTGTAAATCTCTGAGAGCAGAAAGCCTCATCTTTCTCCTATGAAGCAGTTGGCAGATTTGAACTGCTGACCTTGCAGTTGAAGTCCAGTGCTTATCTGACAGTGCTACCAGAGCTCCTAGTTAAATAATGACTCATTTAGCGCTACTATAGAAAGCAATCCAGGCAGTTTTAGGTAAGGCAGACTTCAGTTGCTGCATCCATTTTAGTTTCAAGATGAAAGTAACCTGGCATCCCTAAGGAAATACATGAACATTCCCAACAATGCCAAAGACAGAGAACTGTCGGGATTCCCAACAATACCAAAGACATAGGACTGATATTTATTAGTATTGGTACAGTGGTTAAACACCTGGTTGTTAACAGAAAAGTCAACGATTTGAACCCACCAGTGGCTGCACAGGTGAAGGATGAGGCAGACAGTCGGCTCCTATAGAGATGTGTTGTTAAGTGCCGTCAAGTCAGTTCCAACTCACAGCAATCCTGTATAGGGTTTCCAAGGAGAAGCTTGTGGGTTTGAACTTCCACCTTGTGGTTCAAAGTCCAGTGCTGATCCACAGGGCCACCCTAGTTGTCTTTCTTTAAAACTTTACAAAACTGCGCCTTGGCAACTTCATGGCGCAGTTCTGCTTGGCCCTGTCAGAATTGACTCGATGGTAGTGGATTTGGGGTTTATTTACCTAGCTAATGGAGTCCTGGTGGTTCCATGATTAAGCCCTCCCTGGCCACTTACCGAAAGGTCAGTGGTTCAAACCCACCAGCCTTCTGCTTCTGTAACAATTTACAGCCTTGGGACTGACTGTAAATAGGACAGACAGTTCAGCTCTGCTGTAGGGTCTCCAGCAACAGGAGAGTGATGTGATTAGAAGGAAGGCAGAGGCCCTGCTTCCCCTCTAGTGCTGTTTTTCCATCTGTTTGTCAAATCAGCACATCTTGCCAGGCTCCCTCTTGGCACTCCCGCCTTGGTATACCCTGGGCCAGTATGCAACGGCTTCAAAACGTTTGTGGGAAAATTCCATTCTCTTTTCATCCCATTTTCCATGAACTTTTTGGAGACCCTTCGGATGTTAGTTGAAATCCTTACCTCTTAGTGAAAAGTGGTGGAACCTCCGATACTTAGTCAGTGTGACGCCAGTCGTGCGGCAGATGCTGCATGCTGATGTGCAGGTTGTGCATAGTGTGGCTCTACAGTCACATGTGTAGACAGGTAGAGTCATAGTAGTGTATGGGGAAGAGGTGAGCTTTATTACTGGGGACAAGGACACCGAACTCATGGTGATGCTGTGCATTTACAGTCTTGGTTTGCACAGCTGGATACATCCCTAATTCCTCTGTATATTTTGTGGTTTGATCAAACGTAGAGTATTTTGTTATTTCTTGAGAGAGACATTTTAATAAGATATTGACAAAGTAGAGTGTCTCTAGAGGATGCCAGAAGCCCTGGTGTGACACTGTAGGATAAGCACTGGACTGCTAACCATGAGGTCGGCAGTTCAAACCCACCAGCCGCTCCTAGGAAACCCTATCCACAGTTGCTATGAGTCAGAACTGACTCAACAACACTTAACAACAATGAGGAAGGCAACCAGAATTATGTCAAAGTACTATCAGAAAATATGCTTGTATTTTCCTAGGAAAAGAATTACTAAATCTGGGGAAATATGCAGACTATAGATACTAGAGGGGGCTTCACATGTAAATGAAACCCAAAAAACCCACTGCCGTTGAGTTGATTTCAACTCATAGTGACCCTGTATATGGTTTCCGAGGCTGTAAATCTTTACAGGAACAGAAAATCTCATCTTTCTCCCACAGAGCAGCTGATGGGTTTGAACTAGTGACTTTACTATAGGGAATTGCCAGAAACTCAAGCAGGATTCAGAAGAGGATGTGGAACTAGGGATATTGTTGCTGATGTCAGAATGAATCTTGACTGAAATTACAGAGTACCAGAGATGTTTACTTGTGCTTTATTGACTATGGAAAGGCATTCGACTGTGTGGATCATGACAAGCTATGGATAACAATGTGAAGAAAGAGTATTCCAGAACACTTGGTTGTGCTCATGAGGAACCTGTACATAGACCAAGAAGCAATTGTTAGAGCAGAACAAGGGATAGTGAATGGTTAAAAATCAGGAAAGGTGTGTGCCAAGGCTGTATTCCTTCACCATATTATTCAATCTGTATGCTGAGTACATAATCTGAGAAGCTGGATTATAAGAAGAAGAACATAGCATGAGGATTGGAGGAAGACTCATTAATGACTGTGATATGCAGATGATACTGCCTTGCTTGCTGAAAACCAACAGGACTTGAAATACTGATGTAGATCAAAGACCACAGCCTTCAGAATGGATCGCATCTCATTGTAAAGAAAGTGAAAGTCCTCACAACCAAACCAATAAATTACATCATGATAAATGGAGAAATGATTGAAGTTATCAGAGGCTTCATTTTGCTTAATCTTGAATCCACAATCAACACTATCAAGCAGCAGCCAAGAAATCAAATGATGTATTTCATTAGGAAAACCTGCTTCCCAAGACTTCTTTAAAGTGCTCAAGAGTAAACATGTCAGTTAGAGGACTAAGAGAGTGTGACCCAAGCCATGGTGTTTTCATTTGCCTCATTCATATGTATGTGAAAGTTAGATAATGAATAAGGAAGACCTTAGAAGAATTGGTGCATTTGAGTTAATGGTGTTGGAGAAGAATATTGAAAATATCAGAAGAACAAACAATCTGTTGGAAGAAATACAGTCAGAACCCTCCTTAGAAGACAGGATGGCCAGACTTCATCTGTCATACTTTTGGACATGCCAGGAAAGATCACTCCCTGGAACAGGGTACCATGTTTGGTAAAGTGGAGGGGCAATGAAAAATAGGAAGACCCCAGTGAGATGTATTTGCACAGTGGCAGCAGCAACAGTCTCAAGCGTAATTGTAAAAAAAAAATTTTTTTTACAAAAATTGTAAACACAGCTCAGGGTCAGGCAGTGTTTCATTCTGTTGTTCATAGGGTCGTAATGATTCGCAACCTACTCAACAGCACCTAACAACAACACAACAATGAGTTGGAATGGATTCAGCAGCACTTAACAACAAAAATTCATACATATATGTGTATACACACACACAACCCGTTGTCATCAAGTCCACTGTGACTCACGGCGACTCTACAGGACAGAGTAGAGCTGCCAGCTGTTTTGTAACAGCCAAGTGCTTTAACGTCCACATCTTTATCTGTGTATGCATATATGTAACAAGGTACATCTGGACAGAACTAGAATTAGCGGATAGAAGACTTGGTAAGCACAGTCTGAGGAAAAATCATAGGTTTTTAGTGTCCGTTTATGGGCAGGCTGCTTCACACAGTGGAGTATGCATTCTTTCTAAAAGGTTTCTAACAAAGCTTGGAGAGAGCCTTTTGTTGGGACTGGGCGTTCTTACAGGTTGAGGGGTTCGTCTCAGATGACCTTCAGGGACCATCTAGTTGGAAAATTCTTTGATTCTACGACTAGATAATATAGTGTAGCACATAGAAAAAACCCTTAAGTTTTAGACAAATGTGTGTAACATTGCATATCACCAGAGGACAAGATTGTTGCCTAACCAGAATATATTTACATCTTTGCATGCACCATTCTTGGTACCTGCATATGGTGGTGGTGGCTGTGTGCCACCAAGTCAGTTCTGACTCATAGTGACCCTGTATTTGGTTTCTAAGGCTGTATGTCTTTGTAGGAGTAGAAAGCTTCATCCTTCTCCTGTGGGGTGGCTAGTAGATTCAACTACAGTTAGCAGCCTAGCTCGTAATCCACAACACTACCTGGGTTCATTCGTACCTCCATTGTTGTTGTGAAGGGCTGTTGAGTTGGTTACGACTCATAGCAACCCTGCATAGGGTTCCCAGGGAGCATCTGGTGAGCTTGAACAACCGACCTTGCGGTTCAAACTGACTTGGCAGTCCATTGCATTAACCCACAGTGCTACACCTGCACTCTAGAGATACTGATTAATCTGCTAAATCTGAGGACTCTGCTTCTATGAGTGTGACTTGTTCTATGTGTTATTGTGTGACGAAGATTTCCAGTTATCTAAGGGAAAGTTCTGGTGTGGTGTGTAGGATAAGAACTAGACTGCTAACCACAAAGTCAATAGTTCATACCCACCTGCCGCTCCTCAGAGTTACATAGGGTCTCTATGAACTGGAAACGACTCAACGGCACTTAACATCAACAACAAATGGAAAGTTCTCCTTTACAAGAAGGCATCGTAGGGAGATTACTTATCTCACAGGCACATTAGGGACACTGACTAATCTGTGACTGCTTACAGTTCTCTCCTCATTGCGACAGGTGTGTTCATCGTTGCTGCAAAGCGCACGCCCTTCGGAGCGTACGGAGGTCTTCTGAAAGACTTCACAGCCACTGACCTGACGGAAATTGCTGCCAAGGCTGCCTTGTCCGCGGGTAACATCTCACCTGAGACTGTTGACAGTGTCATTGTGGGCAATGTCATGCAGGTTAGTAAGGCAGAAGGTGGCATTCATCAGTTTCATAATAATGAATGTGCTAATTACAGTTTAGGGTAGTGGAAATTTGTCATTTGAGCATGCATAATTCCAAGTGGAGTTTCTTCTGGACACTGCTGATCTGTGTGACTTGGGATGGATCCATGGATCCGTGCTTCTGAAGTTGCAGACTGACTTCCCAGGCTTATTTGGAGTTAATTGGCTTTCTCTGTCTGCCACTAAAGGAGGGTGGTGGTGGTGGTAGTGATGTGCTGTGGAGTCAATTCTAACGTGTAGTGACCCTGTATAGGGTTTCCGAGCCTGTAAATCTTTATGGGAGCAGACAGCTTCATCTTTTCTTGTGTAACAGCTGGTAGTTTCAAACTGCTGACCTTGAGGTTAGCAGCCCAACTCAAAAGCACTGCTCCTTAAAGGAACCAGAGTTCCTTAAAGGAAGGTAGCAAGCCCAAGTAATACAACAAATCTGTCATAATTTCTTATACATGGTAGGAGCTTGGTCAGTTTTTGTGGTGGGAACTAAAAAGTTCCCTTACTTTCTCTCTTGCTATGTATGGTATACAAAACAGATCACCATATCCAGGAAACTGAAAATTATATATTCCACATTTGATGGGTGTCTAATGAGAGGCTAGAAGCTCTGGTAGCATAGTGGATTATAAGCTGGGTTGCTAACCACAAGGTCAGTAGTTTGAATCTTCCAGTCACTCCTCTGGAGAAAGATGAGGCTTTCCGCTCCCATAAAAATTTGCAGCCTCAAAAACCCTATAAAAGGTCACTGTGAGTTGGAACCGACTTGGTAGCATACAACTGCCAATGAGATTCTATTACTGTAGGTGTTGTGGAGGTTAAAGCGACAAAAAGGAAGTCAAAGTCACAGTCTAATGGCAGAAACGTGTGTAGGAGATGCCAATGATGTGATTGCTAAAGGAAAGAAAATGACAATGGAAGCAGAAAAGCACTGGGGTCTAGCTTTTTAACTTATTATTGTGAAGTGGTTGAAGGATTTAGGCCATGTTAATTTCCTTCTGCCTCTCTTTCCATTTCCTGTCTTCATATCCAAAAAAAGCTGTGATGGTCTCTCTTTGATTATTTATTTATTAAACCTAAAATAGTGTATCCTACAACCTTGCTGGACTCATTTATACATTCTAAAAGGTTTTTAGTGGGTTTCTTAGGACTTTCTATGCATAAGATTATGTTATCCGAGAGTAAAGATAGTTTTACATCTTCCTTTCCATTTACGTATTTTTGCCCAGTTGCCGTGCCTAGAACCTCCAGTACAGGGTTGAATACATAGACCCTCTTGTCTTGTTCCTGATCACTCCCCATTAAATGTGATGTTAGCTGTGGGTTGTTATTTGTTGTTGTTGTTGTTGTTAAGTGCCGTTGAGTTGGTTCTGACTCATAGCAACCCTGTATAAAATTTCCAAGGAGCAGCTGGTGAATTTGAACCGCCTACCTTGCGGTCTCTAGTGCATTATCCCACAACACCACACCTATTACTGTAGGATTTTGTCTATCATAGTATTTGCCTCTATTCAAGCTGTGGGTTTTTTGTTGATGTCCTATATTAGATTGGGACATTTCATTCTATTCCTAATCTGTTGAGTGTGTTTAACAAGAATGCTAGAGGATTTTATTAAATGCCTTTTCTGCATCATAATGATCCTGTGACTTTTTTTTTTAATTCTCTTGGCATGATGTATTAGAATATTCATTGATTTTTGCCTGTTGTGAACCAATCTTGATTTCTGGGCTAAATCCCACTTGGTAGTGGCCTACAGTCCTTTATATATGCTGCTAGATGCTATTTGCTAGTTTGTTTTTTAATTTAGGAATTGGGTGAAAGTTTACAGAGCAAACAGGTTTTCCATTCAACAATTCATACACATTCTGTTTCATGCCCCTGACTGCGATCCCCACAATGTAGTATCATATACCCCATATCTCCCCTGATTCCCATTTCTATTCCACCTCATTTCCTGCCTTCCGAACTTTGGCCTTGGGCAAATGCTGCCCTTTTGATCTCAATGGATGATTATTCTAAGGAGTGCTTACCTTCCTAGTGGTATTGTTTGTCCACCATATAGATCTTTCTAGTGGCTGGCTGAAAACTGAGCCATGGGGTAAGTTCATTTCCAGGCCTGATGGGTTACTACGTCTCAATATGACCAGTAAACCTAGTCATTTTTATGATTTTTTCCCCCTATTTATCCCTTTCAGAACAGTCAGCAGTGGTAGCTGGGCTCTGTCTAGTTCTCCTGGTCTCAGGCTGGTGGAGGCTGGAGTTCACATGGTCCATTGTCCTTTGGACTAATTGTTTCCCTGTGTCTTTAATTTCCTTCGCTCTTCTTTCCACTAGATGAGGAGGGACCAGTAGCAGCACTTAAAATGGCTACTCACAAGCTCTGAAGATCTCAGATGTTGCTCATAGAAGTAGAATGGAGAATGTTGTCTGTGTGAACTATGTTATGTCAGTTGATCTTTTATGTCTCCCTTGAGTGGGGTCCCAGCCTCCAGGCCCAGTGACTCGTTTCCTCCAGGTGTTTGGTTATGGCTGAGTTTGTTTTGCCCTCTTGTTTGCTCTATTATAACATGATATAGTTATAGCACACAGACATATGTCTGAAGAAATATCATCTGCCAGACTTATATATGGTCGTAAGTAAAGTCCCTTTCGTTTACTCATACCTGTTCATCTGCCTGTCTGCCTATATTTGCACTTATAGAGTATTGTTGGTTATTTCTGATAATGCAGGATTGATTGTGTACATAATGGTATCTCTCTTTCTTGTGTGGGTGTAACTCTTGAGTAGCTCTCTGAGTCTTAGTAATATTGTGTTGGTCACCCTCCCACTTATGGTGTGTTATCTTTCCATTCACTCCTATTAATACGTGTCTGTTATCTTGGAGTCCTGGTGTGGTGCTGTAGGCTATGCGCACAACTGCAAGGTCGGCAGTTCAAGCTCACCAGCCATTCCTTGGAAACCCTATTCAGGGTCGCTATGAATTAGAACTGACTCAATGTTACTCAACAGCAGACAACAATAATTATCTAGTCAGTGATTTTCAATTTGCTTTTATTTTGTTGCGGTTTTTTTCATCTGTATTCATATATATATCCTGGTGTGGCGCTGTGGGATAATACACTGGACTGCAAAGTCAGTTTGAACAGAAAGGTCAAGCTCACAAGCTGCTCCTTGGAAACCCTATACAGGGTTGCTATGGGTCAGAACTGATTTGACAACACTTAACAACAGTTCATATGTAAGAGATATTGGTGTATAATTTAATTTTATTTTGAATGTTGGGTATCAAAGTAATACTCCTCATAAAATGAGTTGGGAAATAGTCCCTCTTGTGTGAAGCATTGGTGTTAATTATTCTTTAAATATTTGATAGAATTCAGATGCATAGAACTCCATTGTTGTTATGTTGTCAAGTGTCCTTGAGTCAATTCCGTCTCATAGTGACTCTGTATAGGGTTTCTAAGGAGCAGCTGGTGAGTTTGAACTGCTGCTCCTATGGTTCGTAGTCCATTGCTGATCCTGCAGTGCCACACCAGGACTCCAAGATCCTGTTATGTGAGAGTCGGTTTGCTTTTTATTTATTTTGAAGCTATCTGGACTTTGACTTTTCTTTGTGACTAGTTTTTGTTTTATTAAAAGGACGCTGTGGGAAGATGTATATACCAAACAGTTTTCCATTTTAGTACTTGAATGTTCCCCTCAGTCCACTGAATTACCTTCAGTTGGCTGTGTTCACGAGGTTACACAGCCATCGCCACTGTCTAGTTCCAAATGTGTGGTGGTGTTTTTTTAACCACTCCTAACAGAAACTCAGCACCCTTGGGTAGGTAGACATATAGCTTATTCTATCTTTAAACAGCTCTTATTCTTATAAGAGCCCTGGTGTGGTGCTGTAGAATAAGCAGTGGACTGGCAACCACACGGTCAGCAGATCAAACCTACAAGCCACTCTCAGAAACCCTATACAAGGTGTCTGTGACTCAGAACCAACTCAATTGCACATAACACTTGTTATAAATGTCCGTCTTACTTGAAGACTTAATATACAGATTTCGTTAACTAGCAAGCATATATTGTTGTTAAGTGCCTTCGAGTCAGTTCTGACTCACAGTGACCCTGTATAGGGCCTCCCAGGAGCTGCTGGTGAATTTGAACTGCCAACCTTGCAGTTCAAACTGACATTGTGGTCCAGTGCATTATCCCACTGTGCCACACCAGCATTTTCATTCCAATTGTAAACACACATATATAAAATATGGGGATGGGGAGTGTGGTGGCTCCATATGATAAACGTTGTACTGCGAACCACAAGGTCCATGGTTCGAGCCCACCAACTGTTCTGTGAGAGAAAGACGAGACTTTATGTTCCCACAAAGATTTAAAAGCCTCTAAAACCCTATACAGGCTCGCGTCGGAACCGACTCAAAGGCACTAATCACAACAATATAAAATACATTGTGTTTTACCTTGTTGTTGTAAAGTGCAGTCGAGTCATTTCCGACCCATAGTGACCCTGTATAGGGTTTCCAAGGAGCGACTAGTGAACTTGAACTGCTGACCTTGAAGTTCAAACTGACTTTTCTGTCCAGCGCATTAACCCACAGTGCCACACCAGGACTCTGTGTTTTACCTTAGAACCATATGTAGTTTATCATTTTAGATAGAATGGCAACATTTCCATGTATTTTGCCCTTGCTTTTAATTTGTAGATTTACAGAGGAAATTCTTTTCTTTCTTTTCCCTCGGTTCCAGAGTTCTTCTGATGCTGCCTACCTGGCAAGGCATGTTGGCCTGCGAGCGGGAGTTCCTAAAGAGACCCCAGCTCTCACTGTGAATAGACTCTGTGGCTCCGGGTTCCAGTCCATTGTGAATGGAAGTCAGGTATGGGCAATATTTTATGTATGGTTCTCTCGAAAGATGTTAATAGTTATTGTAGGAAATGTCCTGTGGCTTTATAGCTTATTTTACATTTCTTGTTAAAAGAAGTCAGTATTTGATTTTTTTCAGGAAAAAAGAGTCCAAGGGAGAAAATACTTTTTAAAAAGTGAATGCTGACAATCATTTATTGAGTGTTTCCTGTGTGCCAAGCACTGTGGTAAATGTATGTACTCTTAAGTATCTCATTGAATCTTGACAGCCATCCCAGGAGGCAAGAAGTGTTCTTGTTATCATTTACATGTCTCTGTGAGATAGTTTAAAACACCGACTGAAGACTCTGAAGGGAGGAAAAGAGTTGGAGAATTTGGGAGATGATAAAATATATTTTATTACGACGGAATTGGGAGAACTGTAATCTACTATGACCTTTTTACAGGACAGTTAGGCAAATACGTGTGTTTCCCTAAGCATAGGGGAAAGGGACATACATATTGAAATCTAATTTCGTTTTTTTCAATCTTCATTTTATTTAAAAATAAAATAAAAAGCACAGCCCCATTATAGAGAATATATTATTTTATATCACTTTGGTTCCATAATAACTTCGCTGAAGCATTAACCCTTCTTTTCCTGGCAAAAAAATTGAACATCAGGCTGTTGGAGGTTTGTCGTCTGTTGCTTTTCTGAGAAGTGCAAATGGCAGAACGAAACGGACTCCTTTTATCATTTCCAAGGTTGGCCTATGAAGACCCGGTGATGCTGTGGTTAGGTGTTGGGCTGCTAACCACAAGGTTGGCAGATCAAACCCACCAGCAACTTCACGGGAGAAAGATGAGACTGTGTGCCCCAGTAAAGGTGTATATACAGTCTCAGGAGCCCTGTGTAGGCTCACCAGGAGCTGGAATCAGTTGGAATCGATGGCTGTGGGTTTGTTTGTTTTCTGAGGTTGGCTAGTTCTTATAATGTGGAGTCCTGGCGTGGCATGGCGCTGCAGATTAATGCACTGAACTGCCAAGTCAGTTTCAGCCTTAGTAAGGTCGACTGTTCAAGCTCAACAGCCGCTCCTCAACAACCGACTCAATAGCAGTTAACAACAGTTGTTATAAAAGGAGCCCTGGTAGCGTGGTGGTTTACTCATTGGTCTGCTAACCAAAAGGTCAGCAGTTGAATCTGTGAGCCTCAGATGCTGTCTGATCCAATGTCGATTTTGAGCCTCGGAAACCCTATACTGGGTCACTAGGAGTCGAAACTGACTTGTCACCTGGATCTCCTTCAACTGTATCCATCCATAGGATGAATTTACTTTTGGTTTCTTAAACAGTCTTTTATCTTTTGTCCTAGCAGTCTAAACTTAGACTAAGCATTACAATTCCTGCTAATTTGCAAAATTTGTATTGCGTTAACAATTACGGTTTGTAACAAATATGGGAAGGGTCTGTTTTTCATGGACAATTGAAGTTGGGTCTTTTTTTTTTTCCCCTTTGCATTTTTAGAATGGATGATTTAATGTTTGCTTTACAATTGCTTTAAAAACATTTCCTTCTGAGACACTGTAAAGTAGGGCCCATTACATATTAGAATTACCCTTAGTAAAATCTGAGTACTTAGTACACATTTCTACCATGATAAAAAGGTGGTATTGTTGTTTCTCTTTGTGTTTAAATAGGAAATTTGTCTTAAAGATGCTGAAGTTGTCTTGTGTGGAGGAACCGAAAGCATGAGCCAAGCCCCCTACTGTGTCAGAAATGCACGTTTTGGAACCAAGTTTGGATCAGATCTCAAGGTTAGGTTCATTAATTTAAAAAAAAAATTTTTTTTCATGCTACTGTATTAATAATTTTAATAACATAAAATTATTATGCTGTTGGTGTTGGTAGCAACCCTGCATAGGGTTTCGGAGGCTGTAAATCTTTACAGGAGCAGAAAGCCTCAACTTTCACCCACAGTATAGTTGGTAGTTTCATAGCCACAATGCTACCAGAACTCTATTTAGGGGGAGCAGGAACTAATTTTGAAACTAGTTTTGTTAATGGGGGTTGACAAGAATGAATAAATTATTTGACATTTGTAAACTATTTCAAAACCACATTTGATTGTTAGTTTTAATATCTTAACCTGTATAAAATTAGACTTCCAGCACACCTCTGGTGGTGAGTAACGTTAACATTTAGAAATGGTCCTAGGTTTGGGAGAGATGGAGAGAGGGCAAAAGTGGATTAAAAAGATAGGGTCTCCCAACAAAGAGTCCAAAACAAGGTGGCTTCACTAGTGAATTCTGTTCATCTAAAGAATAATACTAGTCCTTCTCAAATTCTTCCAAAAAATACAAGAGAAGGAAGTACATCCTAACTCATACTATGAGGTGAGTGTTACTCTGATACTGAAGCCCAATATAGATAACACAAGGAAAGAAAACTGCAGACCAGTAGCTCTTACAAACATAGATGCAGAAATTCTCAACAAAATGCTAGCAAACCAAATTCAACAGTGTATTATAACAATGGGGTTTATCCAGAAATGCAAGCGTGATTCGATGTGAGAAATCAATGTACTAACTACACCACAGTGATACATAAAAGGCATTTGACAAAATTCGACACCTTTCATCATAAAACTCTCAGCAAATTCAAAAAAGAAGGAAGAGTCTTCAACATGATAAACATAATTTTGTGAAAAATCCTACAGTGAACATCACACTCAACGGAAAAGACTGAAAGCATTCCTCTTAGGATCAGGAACAAGACAAGGATGCCTGCTTTTGTCACTGCTACTCACAATTATGCTGGAAGCTCTAGATAGAGCTCAGGAAAATAAAATACATATATATATAAAGAAATAGAAGGTATCCAGATCAGACAGGAAGAAGTAAATCTACTTTTGTTTGCAGATAGCATAGTCCAACATATTGAAAATCCCACAGAATCCATGGAAAAGCTACTAGAGATGGTAAATGAATTCAGCAAAATTTCAGGGTACAATGATCAAAACACAAAATCCAGTCAGGTTTCAATACCTTCATCAGTGAACGATTTGTAAAGGAAATGAAGAAAATGCATGCATTTATACTAGCATCTAACAAATTAAATAATCTAGGACTACATTTAACCAGGAAAGTAAGAGGTGTATATGCTGAAAAAATTTAAGAAGGCCTAAATACATGACCCAAGCCATAGTATTTTCAATAACCTCATATACATGCAAAATCTGGACCGTGAAAAGGAAGACCGTAGAAGAATTGATGCATTTGAGTTATGGTGTTGGAGCAGAATATTGAAAGTGCCATGGACTGCCAAAAGAACCAATAGATCCATTTTGAAAGAAGTGCAGCCAGAGTGCTCCTTGTAGGCCAAGATAGCCAAACTTCCTCTCTCATACTTCAGACATGTTGTCAGGAGGGCCCAGTCACTGGAGAAGGATATCAAGTTTGGTAAGGTGGAGGGTCAGAGAAAAAGAGGAAGATCCCCTACAAGATGGATTGTCCAACTGGCAGCATCGATGGACTCAAGCGTGGCAACAGTAGTGAGGTTGGCCCAGGATCGGGCAGTGTTTAGTTCTGCTGTGTGTAAGTTGCTATGGGTCGGTACCGACTCGATGGCACCTAACAACAAATACATGGAAAAACATCTCCTACTCATGGATTGGAAGACTTAATAATATTAATACTACTCAAATAATCTACACCCCTTACCCACCTACTGCCATCGAATCAGTTCTGACTCACAGTGACCCTATAGGGCAGCGTTAAACTGCGCCTTTGTGTTTTTAAGACTTTAAATCTGTATGGAAACAGACAGCCTCATCTTTCTCCCTTGGAGCTGTTGGTGGATTCAAATTGCTGACCAGCAATTAGCAGCCAAATGCATAACCCAGTATGCCATTTAGACTCAACACCATCCCTATTAAAATTCCAACGTCCTTTTTCACAGAAATATAAAGCCAATCCTCGCATTCAAAAAGCCAACATTATCCCTAAAAAAGAAGCAAGTAGAATGACTTCCACTTCCTGATTTCAAAACACATGGTAAAACTACGATAATCCAAGCAGTATGATACCCCTATAAGGATAGACATATAGACCAATAGAATCGAACTGTGAGTCCAGAAATAAACCTCTACAGCCATGGCTAGTTGCTTTTCAACAAGAGTGCCAAGTTCATTCCCATGGGGAAAGAATAGTATCTTCAACAAACGATGCTGTGGCAGCTGGATTTCCACATGCTGAAGAATGAAATCATGCCTATGTTTCATACAATATGTGAAAACCCAAAATGGACCGATGTCCTAAATAACAAGAGATACAGTCATGAAACTTGTAGAAGAAGCCATAGGAGCAGAGCTGCTCAGCCTTGTTGCCAGTGGATTCTTAGGTACAACATCAAACGCAGCAGCAGCAACAAAAGAAAAAATAGATAGATTTGACTTCATCAAGATTCAAAGCTTTTGTGCATCAGAGGGACTTTCTCAACAAGTGAAGAGAAAGCCTACACAATGGGACAATATGCATAGCAGCCATCTATCTGGTAAGGAGTTAATACCCAGAAAACATAAAGAACTTTTACAGCTCGACAGCCAAAAGACAAACAACCTGATTAAAAATAGATAAAGGACTTGAATAAACAGCTCTCCAAATTAGATATGCCAGCGGCCAGTATAACAGTGTAGGTGAGAATGTGGTCTGGTGCTGTAGGAGAAGCACTGGACTGCAAGATCAGTGGTTCAAATTCATCAGCCACTCCTCAGAGACCCTGTGTTGTTGTTGTTGTTGTTAGGTGCCATCGAGTCGGCACTGACTCATAGTGACCTTATGCACAGCAGAACAAAACAATGTCTGATCCTGGGCCCACCTCACTATTGTTGCCACACTTGAGTTCATTGATGCTGCCACCTGGCCAATCCATCTCGTTGGGGGTCTTCCTCTTTTTCTCTGACCCTCCATCTTACCAAATATGATATCCTTCTCTAGCGACTGCTCCCTCCTGACAATATGTCTGAAGTATGAGAGACAAAGTTTGGCCATCTTGGCCTTTAAGGAGCACTCTGGCTGTACTTCTTCCAAAACGGATCTATTGGTTCTTTTGGCAGCCCATGTCACTTTTAGTATTCTCCTCCAACACCACAACTCAAAGGCATCAATTATTCTACGATCTTCCTTATTCACTGTCCAACTTTCACATGAATATGAGGTTATTGAAAATACCATGGCTTGGGTCAGGCACACCTTAGTCCTCAAGCTGACATCTTTGCTCTTCAACACTTTGAAAAGGTCTTGTGCAGCAGATTTGCCTAATGCAGTATGTCGTCTATATGCAGGGTGTATATGAGTCGGAACTGACTTGATGGCACTAAACAACAACAAACAGTCTGTATTGCTGGTGGGAGTGTGAAACAATGCAGGTACTGTGGAAAATAGTTAGGCAGTTTCTCAAAAACTTAAACATAGATTTACCATGTGACCCAGCAATTCCACCCCTTCGTACATGCTCCAGGCTTGAAAACATGAACTCAGACGGACGCTTGTACACCACTGTTCACTGCAGCATTATTCAGCATAGTCAAAAGGTGAAAGCAACCCAAATGTCAATAAGCAAGCAGGTGACTAGCAAAACAAAACCTGACATTCCTGTATAATGGAGAAAGGAGCTTCTGATACACGTTAGGACATGATGGTTCTTGAAAACATTATATTGCAAGAAGTAAAGTAAGTAGGATTACATCCAAGTATTTTGGGAGGATACAATTCATTCTATAGCACCCACTTATGTCAGACATTTAGAATAGGAAATGTATAGAGTCAAAAACTTATTAGTGGTTACCAAGGGTTTTCTCTGCTATTCATAAGGTTTTCAGTGACTAACTATTCAGAAGTAGTTCCTCACTCCTTCTTCCTAGTATGTCTTCATCTGGAAGCTCATCCGAAACTTGTCCACCATGGGTGACCCTGCTGGTATTTAAAATACTGGTGGCATAGCTTTCAGAATTACAGTAACTCACAAGCCACCCCAGTACGACAAACTGACAGACCAAGGGTTTTGGTGGAAAAGGGGAGTTACTGCTTAAAGATTTTTCTCTTTGGGGTGATAAAAAAAAACAAACTTTTGGAAACAGATAATAGTGATGAATGCTCAATGTGGCACATGTAATTAATGTCATTGAATTGTACATGTAAAATGACAACTTTTATTATATATTTTACTATTCTAAAATTAATAATTAAGAAATAAAGGCTGAATTAATCTCTTTACTAATTCAAGTAATGAATTTTTATTGTGGCTTATGGAAGTTTCCTTTCTAGGACAGTGAGTAGATTTCTTCTTCATCATAGAAAATACTCTCTTTGAATACAGAGTGTAGTATCCCAGACCAGTCAGACATACACTGACCCTGCATCTGTGAGAACTACCACCTGAGCTGATAGCACTAATGACGGCGTGCTGCTTTCACGTACGGAAGAGCAAATGTCATTTTTATGTGTTTTAGTCTTTTCTAATAGCAATGATTGGTTTTACATGGTTTACCCAAAGTTTCTTATCTAGTCCTTTTTTTTTCATTGTGAATTGAGTGATAATTTACATGGGAGAACATCAGCTTTACATTCATCCTATCATATTTCGTTTCATTGCAATGATAACAGTCCCCTCTATGCATCATCAAACAACCAAATGGTACGCCCCGCAAGCTTGGCCCCCGGCTGTCAGCACACAGCCCTCTCCCTCCCTGAGTCCAGAGTCCCCAGCCACTCCATCTCTCCATTATCTAGTCCTTTAGAAAGTTGAAAGGAATGAGACTTAGCGAACATGAGATAGCAGTTTTTTTAGACAAAGATATTTGAGAAAACCTTTGGATAGACAGGTCAGTGTGCAAAGGGTAATGGGACAGTCTGGAAGAAGGAAATGGGATACACATACCAGAGATTCGAATCCACTGCCATCTAGTCAGTCCCCACTCAGAGTGATGACCCCACAGGAGAGAGGAGAACTGCTCCATGGTGTTTCCAGCACTCTGCTTCATCTCTCCTGTGAAGCAGCTGGTAGGATGGAATCACCCACCTTTCAGCTGGGATCCCAGCACTTAACTCACTGTCTCAGGGCTCCTAATGGTTTATAAATATCTACCTTTTCTGTTACCCAAGGAGATTTTCCCAGATTCTTCTCAATCTCATAGTGACTTTTGAGCAGGGTATTCTTATGACTAGAAGGCAAATGATAAAAAAGGAGTGCGGATATTGCTTTCTTAAAGATCTCACAACTGCTTTACAGAGAGCTCCAGGAAAACATTGTGAGAGTACTCAGACTAGGGTTTCTAAATAATGGACTCTTGAAGGGAGTAATTTTTCAAATTACAGTATTATGACCTAAACTCATTCTTTACTATTCTAACTATGTAACACCTCTAAACAAAAGTTTCTACTTGTTGATAACATGCAGTTTAATTTTTAAACTGTGTCAGAAGATTGCACATTTAGCATTGATGGGTCTCCCTCAAGCCCCACACTTACATAGAGAGGAGATTATATGCATTTTAGTATGGCAGTGGGTATTTTCAAAAACTATCATGGAACCAAATATGAGTAGTAGCAACTTCTAGCAAGGGCTTATCAGAGAGTCTAATTTTATTTTTGTTTATTGGAACTGTTATTTAAATTTTAAGACATCATACTATATTACTTTCAAGAGAAATGATTTAACAGATCACTTTATTAATGTCTTTTAATAGCTGGAAGATTCTTTATGGGCAGGATTAACAGATCAGCATGTCCAACTCCCCATGGGAATCACCGCAGAGAATCTTGCTGCGAAACATAAAATAAGCAGAGAAGATTGTGACAAATACGCCCTACAGTCACAGCAGAGGTGGAAAGCCGGTCAGTGAAATATATATGAAGATGTGGATGGGAAGATTTTCATCGTTTCAGATTGTAACTAATGATATATATTAGTTAAAAATTATATCTTTTGACAGTTACATTTTTTCATCATTCTTTTGTCTTTAGCTGATCAGATATTCTATGAACTTTTTTTGTAAAATTAACCAAATTTCTCTTTTGAAATAAGTTAATACTATTTTTTAAGTGATGTTATTAATTGGACACATGAATTTTGTCCTAACCTGGTCCTGTCCTCAGTAGAACACTCTGTGGAATATGGCACACTCCATCAGAGACAGTGACTCACTTTGGCAGTGGGGCTGGTAGAAACCTCCCGTGAGGCAGATCGTAATCACTGGACGGGACAGTGTCTTTGGAAAAGACTCATTGGGAATCTTTCTATTCCTCCTTCCTACCATTCCTAACTGGGAGTTAACTGCACCTGATCCTGAGACTTGGAAATAGTCCTAGTTGTCTAAGAATCCCGGTGTCCTGCTGTGGCGCTGTAGGATAAGCATTGGACTGCTAACCTCAAGGTTGGCTGTTCAAAACCACCAGCTGCTCCTCGGAAACCCTGTACAAGGTTGCTATGAGCCAGAATTGACTCCATGGTACCTAGTGCCCCATGAGCAACATGAAAGCAGTTCTTTCATCATCGTATGTTGCTGTTGTTAAGGGCCATCAAGTTGTTTCTGACCCATAGCGACCCTGAATACGGTTTCCAAGGAACAGCTGGTGGGCTTGAACCGCCGACCTTGCCATTCAAACCAACTTTACAGTCCAGTGCATTAACCCACACCATCACACCAGGAGGACTCCTCCATTGTCAATAGGGAGAGATAAAGAAAGTTGTTAGTCTTCTGAAAAATGGTCTTATGTTATAAAGAAGCAGAAACACTTGTTTAGAGTGTTACATACTTGTAACAGTTAGGATGAGTCCATGTTGGTATTTCCGAGGGTTTAGTGGAACGCAAGTACTGCCTTTCAACTCATCCTCTGGGTTCACAGTGATGTATCTAGAGTCGAGTATAAATTCTCTTTTCAGTTCTGCCACTTACAAGTTGTCTGACCCGTTAAAGATTTACTCATGGAGTAGCTGTCAAATCGAGAGAATATGACTTGCCATCCTCAGCACTCTACCTGAAAGGTTGGCTGTTTGAACCCAGCCAGCAGCTCCAGGGCAGAAAGACCTGCCCAGCTGCTGCAGCCACAGTTACACCCTTGAAAACCTTGTGGGACAATCCTACTGTCACGTGGGGTAGCTATGAGTGGAAATAGATCCCAGCAAACTTACAGAATAGAGTTGTTAATGAGAGCAGATATGGACAGTGCTTTGCAAACTGTAGTGACAGCCGATTATGATTCCTGAGTAAGCCTATTTCTGCAGCTCTGTGTGGCCTGATGACTGGTCCACGCAGGCCGTGGACATGGTCGTGGGGAAGATGGTTTCCTTATCCTGTATCAGTGATGTGCAGCCAGCACCATGAATCCACCTTAGAACATTTCCATCACTCCTGAAAGACACCTGTGCCCGTTAGTAATCACTCCCCATTTTCCTCCAGTTAAAAGAATATGACTGACTTCTTCTCTTTGCTTTTATTTCTCTTTTTGGCTTCTTTCTATTCTTATGATAGTCATTTTATTATTTCTAATATTTCAGCTAATGATGCTGGCTACTTTAATAATGAGATGGTGCCAATTGAGGTGAAGACAAAGAAAGGGAAACAGACAATGCAAGTTGATGAACACGCTCGGCCCCAAGTCACCCTGGAGCAATTAAATAAACTTCCTCCGGTGTTCAAGAAAGAAGGGACTGTCACTGCAGGGAACGCATCGGTAGGTGTCGTCCTAGGTAATCGGAAACTCGTATTTGTGTGTTGAATGGAAAATAGTCAGGAACATCTTTTACATGCTGTTGTTGGTAAGTGCCGTTGACTTGGTTCCGACTCATAGAGACCCTGTATAGGTTTCCAAGGAGCAGCTGGTGGGTTTGAACTCCTGACCTTGTGGTTCAAAGTCCAGTGCTGACCCTACAGCGCCACACCTGGAGTCCACATTTCGTACTAGCGCTTGGTTATTGAGCTTAAATCAGTCAGTATTGTTCATAGGAGCCCTGTGGTAGTACAAATGGGTAGCATACTCAGCTACTAATGGAAAGGGTGTAGGTTCAAGTTCACTCAGGTATTTCAGAAGAAAGGCCTGGGAATCTGCTTCTGGAAAAAAAAAAACCAGCCTCTGAAAACACTACAGAAAGTGCTACAGAGCACAGTTCTCTTCTGACACGCATGATGGGCTGCCAGGAGTTGAGTTAATGGCAGCCGGGGCTTTCGGTTTGGCTTTTAGCAGTGGTCATTCTCATTCTTTTGTGCACGGGATCACTATGGATGGGAACGATGGCACCTAACAATAATAACAATACTCATTCATTCATTTGGGTTTCTGGGTCCAGAACAAAAGAATATTTTCCCTAGAGACCCTCTTCTTTCTAATCTTTTCACAGTATTGTAAAGAAATCATACCTGGTTTTTAATTTGGTTGTTAGATAGGTTGTATTGTTTGTTTTTGTTCATGTGAAGGACATAGGAGCCCTGGTGGTGTCATGGTTAACCCCTTGGCTGCTAACCAACAGTTATCAGCACTTAGAGACAGAGGCATGACAGTCTGCTTCCGTAAAGATGGCGGCCTGGGAAAGTCCGTGGAGCAGTTCCACTGTGTCCTAGAGACTCTCTCTGGGTCAGAACTGACGACATGACAATGGGCTTGTTTAAACAACTCAACATCTGCCACATCTGGATAGAAGCTTTTCCCTTTCTACTTTCCCTCATCCTCCCACAGTACCACTTATATTCACATTCTGTTACTGCTGCCTGCGTGTCACACATATCACCAGTCCTCCTCTCTCCGTTCAGTCTGGACTCCTTTACCTCCGAGGTAACCTGCTGCTTCTGTTTTCCAGGGGGTGTCTGATGGTGCAGGAGCGGTAGTCATCGCTAGTGAAGATGCCGTTAAAAAGCACAACTTCACACCACTGGCAAGAGTGGTGGGCTATTTTGTGTCTGGATGTGATCCCTCAATCATGGGCATTGGTAAGTTTATAGTGAAACAGACTGGTTCTGCTGTTGGAGAAAAGTTTTCTCTGGCATTCAGATTCATGAAAGCGTGGCTACATCCTAAAAAGAGACCGAGAATCATGTATTTACGCAACCTGTTTTTATCAAGTCCTCAAACTTGTGCTAGCACGCTAGGAAAACAAGCCAGTATGAACTCCTCGTGGGTGATGTCGTCATTAAGTGCTGTCCAGTCAGTTTTGATTCATAGCAACCTGTATAGGGTTTTTGAGGAGCGGCTGTTAGGTTTGAACTGCTGACCTTGTGTTTAGCAGTCCAGTGCTGATCTTACAGCACCACAGGACTCCTTGTGGAAAGAAGATAGCACCACTCCCCCTGCTGGGTGCCTTCAACATGTCATTGTTGTTGCTATGTGCCGTGGAGTCGGTTCCAACTCATAGCAACCCTGTACAGGGTTTCCAAGGCTGTAAATCTTTACGGGAGCAGAAAGCCTCATCTTTCTCCCACAGAACAGCTGGTAGTTTCGAACGGCTGACCTTGCAGTTCGCAGCCCGATTCGTAACCACTATGCTACCAGAGCTCCTTTCATGTCATTAGTGTCCCAGTTAATCTGCTCACATCTTTGGTAAATGAGACCTCATTGTGAACAAGGAGATTGACAAGGCTTAGGGAGATTGCTTTACAAGACTCAAAACCAGTAAGTGATGGAGCCAGGATATGAATCCGGGTCTCTAATTCAAGGGCTCTTCTCACTGTGTGTTAAGCACATTGTCTCAGAAAGTCAAAGTAACACTCAGCTGGCTTAGCTGAGGCTTCATTGCAGAATTAAGACTCATAGACCACAAATCTTAATTGACTAGCTAGAGAAAGTGTGAAACTGTACAAACACATATTCTTAGTTGGAGAAACAAATGCGAATTAGAAGTAGAACAAAGAGGCATTTGCTGGATACAACCATTGGACTGTGGGTAATAATAGTTCCTGTCATCATTCTTTAAGAAACAGTGAACCAGTTAGGTGCTTCCCTTACAAAAGTAAAACAGGTGCTCAACAGCCTTGATCTATCCCACCTTTATCCGGACACCCAAAGGTCAAGCCTACCTTGATAGGGCCAAAGACTTTTCCATGAGCTTAGGCCTCTTCTGACTGATTAAATTGGTTATAGAAAGAGGGTGACCTAGTGTTGACACACCTTCTCAGAGACCCTTCAGTGTAAGCCACCAGGTCCTGCTTGAATAATACCACTTACTTGGATTTGCATTAACTGAATAGCCAACCATATTTACTGTGTCCTCAGTAATCAGATAGGTAGAGAAGTAGACAATCTCCCCTAGCCAGGTGTTTTTTTTACCTTTTAAAAAACAAAAATGTTGAGCGGTATTAAACTGTCTTGGGTGATCATCAGAAATCTGAGAGCTAAAATTTAATTTAGAAGTAGTCTTATTAGGTGGATTTGCATTTCTTGAGGTAGGGTTAAATTTTTAAAGTCCTTTACTTACCCGTTGGAATGATTGATGACTTTGTCAGCTGTCTTTTCCCTGACAGCTGCTGCAATTTCTTGTCTCTTGTTCACATGGGCCTGAAGTTCAGCGTGCGGCCCATGATCACTCTACACTTGAAAGGCACAGGGGGCAGTGTCCCAGGAGAGCATGCAGGTGGTCTTGCTGTTGCTGTTAAGTATTATCTACAAGTAACACCTGCAAAATTCCATGTGTGGCTCCTTTGCTTGGTTGAAATCCTAAAGCCATATGTAGTTGGGTTTTTCCTGTGAGTCTCTCATCTACAGTTTGACTGCATAGGGACACAACTTTTCACCCTGGCAAGGTGACAAGATTTGTAGAAATTAATGCTCCTTGGAAACCCCATACAGGGTTGCTTTGAGTCAGAATCGACTCAGCGTCACTTAATAACAACAATAACTATTATCAGGAGTGCTGTAGGATAAGCATTGAACTGCCAACCACGAGGTTGGAAGTTCAAACCTTTAAGCCGCTCTGTGGGAGAAAGATGATACTTTCTACTCTGGTAAAGAGTTATAGCCTCAGAAATCCCACACAGGGTCACATGTGAGTTGGAATTGACCTGATGGCAGTGAGTTTGAGTTTTTATAATAACTATCATTTCTTCCCTGCTTACTTTGTTAGTAAAGGAGAATTCTGATACATAAGTGAATGTAAGACGAAATTGATGTTTATTCTCTCTTAGGTCCTGTCCCTGCTATTAGCGGGGCACTGAAGAAAACAGGACTGAGTCTTAAAGACATGGATTTGGTGGAGGTAAGGGTACTTTTTAAAAAAAAAAAACATTAGTAAACCGCTTACTTTGTAATATAAATGGATGAAGGTATTTTACACCTCTTTTTGGTTTAGTAACTTTGCATCTGATGTACATCTAAATATGTATCTCCTTCCTTGCAAGACTTGTGTTGGTATTTCCCCACCTAATCAAAGTGCTGACTTATATAGGAATCATTCTGATAGCCTTGTTTCTCCTCCTAAATTGTAAATTCCTGGAATGCAAAAAACATTGGTAGATCACCTACCTCAGGACCATATGGGACTCTATTACATCTTAGAGTATCAACAGTCCTGTTGAGTTGAATATTATATAAGGTGTGCGAGAAATAAGTAACCTTAACCCTGTTTCTAGATTGAAGTAAGAGAAGATAGAGGTAAGAGAATTGGCCTAGTAGAAAACCAATAGCAAGTGCCCAATCTAGAAGTCTCCTCCCCGCCCCCACGATTATCCGTGCCTTTCACACTATGGTTGTGGCTTGATTTGCAATGCACCTATCATCAGCATTGGTATTGGAATGTAAATTTATTGGTAGTTATTTTTTTTAACTATTCATGTTAGAAAAAATATATATATATGTTTGTGTTAGAACAAATGCATCCTAAGGATGTAACACAACTAAAGAAGAGATGGAGGAAGAAAAACTTACAGGTGGATTATATACAAGCAAGTATGTTAACCATTCCGGGAGTATTTGAGGACTTTAGGTAGTTAACTATATGTTGCTTGCGATCAGAAAAGACCTTAAGAAACAGGTTGAAGTTGATGGGAAAAGGCTTTTTCACTCTGGGCACATGTCCTCTGGTAATCCAGCAAAGTCTCGCATGCAGGAAACTGGTTTCAGACAAGTGGTTTATCATTTAAATGTCTTCTTACATTTTTAGAAGACCATCAGGGTAGGTACTTAAGTATCATATTGATGTCAGCAAATAGCTAACACTAACTTTCTCACTTCAGATCTCTTCCCGCTCAAAGTCCTTATTGAAATGTATCAGTTCTACAAGCCTGCTCCTACTCATTCCCACATGTATAAATCCTCAAGGGCACAGTGGTGTTGTCCTTGAGCTGTTTGGTGATCATGCAGTAGTATTCCCTAGACTTAGCAGCCTGGTTCCAGGCTCTTCTAGGTCTCTTAGTACCTTAGTACTGAGCAAGTATTTATAAAATAGAAGTATCCTGTGAGTCAAAGAACAAACAAGGCACCGTTTTGGAATGCACAAAATATAATAGAAAAGGGCATACGACTAGGGATTTGATCCCAGATCATTGAGAGGTTATCTTTCTTAGAATCAGCTTCCGATTTTATCTATAAAATTCCTGCATTAAGATCACATGAAAACATAATACTATAGGTTCAAAGTATGATAAAAAATCTAAAGCAGAGGTGATTCTCATAGCCAGCCTTGGTGAGTGTAAAAGCAGTTCCGTCACGTTCCAACACAGTGACCAGTGCCTGTGTGTATCTGGCTCTGAAGGTTTATCCATTTCTTCTTGGAAGTATGGCTGATACTGGTGGGTAATAATAATATAAGCTACCATTTACTGTGTACTTCCTATGTGCCAGGTAATACACCAGACTAGAGTGACAGAGGGTTTAAATAACATGCTCAAGGTCACCAAGGCCAAGATTTGAACCATCCACCTGCATTTTCTACAGTATCCCACTGCCTCTAGTATGTATCCAACTATAGTCTATGGGGATTGCTTTTCTCTAAGAGATGCGTTTTACTTAGACTGTCAGTTAGTATGTATACCCATTCCCAAGCCTATACCTTTATACAGAAAAATGAAGTTAAGATAACCTTTCAAGGTAATTAAAATTGATACTAAAATTAGCTAGCGATGTTGTTAACTGCCATTGAGTTGGTTCTGACCCATAGCAACCCTGTATGGGGTTTCCAAGGAGCAGCTGGTGAGCTTGAACCGCCAACTTTACAGTGCAAACAACTTTGCAGTCCGGCGCATTAATCCACAGCGCCACAACAGGACTCCTAGCTAGGGATGTTGTTCTTGTTGTTAAGTGCCATCAAGTCGGTTCCAACCCATAGCGACCCTGTATAGGGTTTCCGAGGAGCAGCTGGTTAGCTTGAACCACATACCTTGCAGTTCAAACAGCTTTGCAGTCTGGCACATTAACCAGGACTCCACAGGGATAGGGCTGTTCAAATCTTGGTTCAAATTCAGTTTGTGAATAAGATTTGTATCAGTGTTTTGATTTTTTTTTTTTTTTTTTTTTAAAGGTGAATGAAGCTTTTGCTCCCCAGTACTTGGCAGTTGAGAAAAGTTTGCAACTTGACCCAAGTAAAACGAATGTGAATGGAGGAGCCATTGCTTTGGGCCATCCACTGGGAGGGTCTGGATCCAGAATTATGGCACACCTGGTTCATGAATTAAGGTACTTGCTAGAAACAGCTGTGCTTCAGATTGGCTGTCATTTACTGTAATGCACAGGTTTTCCCAGAGCACTCTGACGTTTTGCACTCTTCCTTCCCTTATTGCCCTGCTCTGGTTCTTACCAGGAATGGTCATCCTGGCATGACCTTTCTGCTGGCCTTCTAGATACCCCAATGGCTCTACATCTAGGACTCGTGCAGCCACTCGGGGACGTTATGTGTCGACCCCCCACCCCCTGTAAAGATGCACAGCAGCAAGTCTATAATGGAGTCCTGGGCCTCATGCCCCTTGTATTCTAGCACCAGTTACAGAAGTCAGATACGTTCACCAAGAAAACAAAACCCTGAGAGGGTCCTGGGCCTCATGCCCCTTGTATTCTAGCACCAGTTACAGAAGTCAGATACGTTCACCAAGAAAACAAAACCCTGAGAGGGTCCTGGCCTAGATGCTGTCGTCCAAGAAACGTAAACAAAAGAAACATTGGAGTCTGAGTTGTTCTCTTGACCTTTTCCAGCCGGAGCCATCTGTGTTTGATCCATTTCAGAGTTGAAAGTGAGCTCTCCTTTGGTCCCATGTATTTTAGACCCTTTTCCTCTGTTAGTCGGTAAATTGCAAACAAAGCCAAATAGGTCAGATTGAAAATTCACTCTGGCACCTGTTAGGTTAAAGTAAATGGGACGCTCTTATTTGTTAAATGATATATTGAACTGAAATGGGTAATTGGCATGTGTCAAAATAATTCCTGGATACTGAACCAAGGAAGGACAGATGGTAAAGAGTGGTGTGTATCTAAGTGACATGGAATGTTGCTAAATGACCTGCCCTTTGACATGCACAAACTTCATTCACTCCATTTATTCCTAAGGCACCATAAAAATACATTGTTGTTGTCAGGTGCCTACAAGTCAGTTCCTATCGCAGCAACCCTGTGTATAACAGAGTGAAACCCTGCCCGGTCCTGTGACATCTTTATAGTTATGTCTGAATCTATTGTTGCAGCAATGGTGTTGGTCTGTCTCGTTGAGGGTCCATCCTCTTTTTTGCATAAAAATCTACCACCACACAAATCAAAGTGACTGGAGTGACTGGAGTTCATCAGTTTCCTGTGTTGACGTAAATCACCTCCTGCCCTCTTTCCTATCCCACATCACACCTGCACTTGTATTAGTTCTGTTTTTCTAGCCCCAGTTCCTCCTCTTCTTCCCCTTACTACTTTACTTTCTTTGTTGTTTATATATATATATATATATACACACACACACAAAGAAATATATAATGTATATATATAATGTTGATAATATTATATATATATATATAAAATGTTATCAAGTGCTGTCGAGTCAATTCCAACCCATAGTGACCCTGTATAGGGTTTCCAAGGAGCAGCTGGTGAGCTTGAACCACCGGCCTTGCAGTTCAAGTGGCTTTGCAGTCTGGCGCATTAACCCACAGCGCCACACCAGGACACACACACACATTCTCTCTCTCTCTATCTATCTATATCTATATCTATATATATATATCCTGCTGTACAGGGTCGCTATGGGTCGGAACCGACTCGACGGCACACAACAACAACATAACTATAATTCAGCATGGAGGATGGAGGAAGAGATTAGGATGATGTAACACAAATGTGACCTTTCTGAATTCTTTCCATTATAAGCTCTATTATCCTCTCATTTGAGTAGGTTTCAACCAGTGCTTTCTTTCTTAGGCGCCGAGGTGGAAAATACGCTGTTGGATCAGCTTGTATTGGAGGTGGCCAAGGCATCGCGGTCATTATTCAGAACACAGCTTGAGAAGGACAAGGCCCCCCTCTCTTACTTACCTGGTCCAAGCTGCAGAAAACAGGTGACGCTTGGGGCAGTTCTGGAAACTGGCCATGCCCCATCACTCCAGCTGTGACTGAGTCTGATCAAAGGGAGAAGCAAAGACGTGTTTGTCCTGAATAAGAGTCCATAGCACCATGCCAGACAAGAGTTCTCTCCAGTTTGCCCTGGTTGCTTTTGACATATTTCTGAATTAAAATCCAACTACAGGCCTTAAAAGAAATTCTATCCTTGCCAAATAACCACCACTTATGCCTTAGATAGTCTGATTGCAAGAGAATCTAATAAATGTTGCCTTATCTTCACTAATCCTTTCCTGTTGTTTCATGTATTCTTACTGTTTTGATCTTTTGAAAGCCAGTTTAATTTGTGTATTGTGATGCTCATGCTTCATTCTGAGCTACATCTCCAAGCAGCAGAGCTGCTGAGCTTAGTCTTACTATTAGCAAAGGCTGTGCGGAATTATTTTTCCGTGACTGAGAACAGCTCTGATTGTGTTTTAATTCTTCAGATAGATGTGAGTGGGGAATATAGCTTTCTCAAAAAAATTTCTGCTCATTTTAAGGATATTTCTTAAGTGGAAAATTTGGGGTTGATAAAAGGCTGGGAAACCAAACTTATGCCTGGAGTTCATTGCCCTTCGTCAGCTTTCCTTGTTTGTCTGAATACCCTTCTATCCTCTCTCCTTTCCCACGGCAGACCTCTAACCCAGTGATTCAACAGGGAGCACATCTGGGACCCTGTTAGTATCTGGAGACGTGCTTGGTTGTCAGAATGGGGGTGGGGGGATTCCTAGTGATCACTATTAGAAAGAGACCCTCCTGCTGACTCACAGCGACCCTGTAGAGTACGTGACATTTGATTTAGAAGATGAAGTCTCAAAGCTTTTTGCCGTTGAACGACTCCAGCCAGACAGCACTTTGGAAATCCATCATGGCATCATATCGGTGATTTCTCTCACCCAGGTGATCTACACTGGGTTTGTCTTATTTTCTTAACTTTAGTTTAAGACTTATTACAAAGCCTCTATAATATTGATGTATGTGAAGTTGAGGTCTTTTTTCTCCCCTACAACACATAAGAAGATATGTTAGCTCCACCGTGATCCAGAGAAGGGGACACAGTGTGTGCATAGCTCTGGGGCTGGAGTGTGAGTAGAGTGTTCAGAACCAGCAGGGAGACAGGTTGGAGCAGAGTGAGCAAGGGGAAGAGTGGATGGAGGGGCAGCCTGGGTGCTTATCCTGTAGGAACTTTTAAGCCATTGCAGGAACTTTGGGGTGGGGGTGTGTCTGAGTGGAGAACCAGTGAGACTTTGAGTAGAGACTTTGAGACTTTATCTGAGAAGTATCCTTCAGTCTGTTGTGTGGAAATGAACTGTAGACAAAGGTGGAAGCAGGGAGGCCAGCTCGGATGATCCAGGCCTGAAAATAACTGTCGTGTCTCTAGGGGTCAGCAACAGAGGTGGTGAGAACTGCCAGATTCTGAATAAATCCTGAAGATTGTCAAAGATTTCTCTAGGACATTTTGTCTTAGCCACTGAAAAAGCAAAAGCTGCCAAAGGAGCAGGTTTTGAGGAAAGATCAACAGTTTGATTCACATCTGTTAGACATCTAAGCGGATACTGAGCAGGCACTTGGGGGAGGAATGTGAAGTTTGGGAGAGTTTGGGGTGGAGATGCAGACCGGAGCATCATTATATATAAATGGACTTTGAACAAGATTCAGGAGCCTCCATTCTAGGTAGATTTAAACATCTTCCTCTTTTAATATACTTGATCTTAATTTTTATAAAGTTTTGTTGTTTTTTTTAAGGAAAAAAAAAATATAACAATAGGAATAATACATAAAACCAAGCATATCTATACTGCTCTTTTGGGGAAGGAATAACCCATCTCTTTTATAGGGTTTCTCAAGTTACACATTTTTATGGAAAAAAAAAGTTAATAAATTCCTTACGAAATTGAATCACTTAAAATGTAGGATGGGAACATGTATTATAAAGGTGTTCTAGAAAGAATACCTTTGTAAATTAAAAATAATTTTTATAACATGGACCGTTCATGCCACTTCTCAATGCCTTTTCTTCTTTTTAATGTGACTCCTGGAATGATTGTCCACCTCTTCCCCTAGGTGGCGCCACGGGCTTGTGCTGCCACCGTTCTTCCTCAAAGACACTTGTCTTGTCCTTCCTTCTGGGAACTGAGGAAGGGAGAAGAGCCGGCAGGGAGGAAATCTAGGGCAGCTGGCAGAGGGCAAATTATCTGTCTCACCTGCTAGCCAATGCCCCATGTCCCTCTGGCCAGAGACACCAGCATTTATTTCTCCTCTGATGCTAAAAGACACTAAGCCCCAGAGCAAGGGAAGCTGACCTGACACAGCCTCTACGCTGCCATTGAAAGACCAAGGCCCTACTGAGGTGCTGCACACCAAGGCCAGAATAGTCTCCTCCCAACTCCGTCCTGCCCGGGGCTCACACAGGCTAGAGCAGCAGAGGAGATGGGGCAAAAATGGTGGCCCTTCTGCCCACAGAGCCAGGGCTGCGGGGAGCTGCTTATATATCCGTTCCTTACTTTCCTGGACCTCAACTGACCATGAGAACCATGACCAGCCCAGTGTGATGACTGGGGAACAGCTAGGACAAGCAGAGGGAGGAAAGACAAGTGCTGAGGTCTGTCCTGTGCCTTCATGTTACCTACCCCAGTAGGCCCACAGGCTCCGACCCAGGCATATCTTATCTGTGCCTCTGGTATGAGCCTCAGTGAGTAAGCATTTGACCAACGTAAGACTCTTCTGCAACATACTCACTGTGGAAAACAGGGTTCCATCTGCCTGTTCTCTGGAATCCCTGCTCTCCCACACCATTGCACCAGGTTCCAGTAAGTTACAGCAAAGGGAAGTAATGGCAAGGCAGTCCTCCCAAGCCAAGCTGTAGTCCAGTCTCAGCACAGCCTACCTGCAGATCCACATTCCAAAGGCTTGAACCTATTGTGGAAATAGGGACGCTGGCAGGAGAAGTAAAACCCAGACTTCTGTTGTGGACGTGCAGTTCCTTAGAAACCTTTGAGAAACACGAGTCAAGATGAAAATCAGAAGCTACAGCGTGAAAGAGCATGCTGAGAACCAAGCACGTTGGATGCTGGCCATCTGTACACACAACATAGACGGTTATTCCTCCGACTGAATTTTCAGGTCGCAAAAGAAAGCAGTCTTCAGGAGCGGAGGCCCACTGTGTAGATGTGGAATTCACAGGGAACTGAGGCCCCCTGGAGATGTGTGCTGGCACCTGGGGAACAGTGTGATGCGGAAGGCAGAACCCTATCACATCACCACCCAGAGCTTGAGGCTCCCCAGCCCTGCACCTAGTGATGTGCACACTGGCCCATTACCCAACCTGCTTCTGGGTCCCTGGAGCTCAGAACCCAGGCTCTGTTCAGAGCCCTGTGTGCTTCTACGTGTCTGTCAGGCACGTGAGCCCCCAGAGGACCTGGGCCCACTTTGCTGCTGCTCTTACTGCTTGTGCAAAATGTGAAAACAAGAGCCTCCGTCTGAAAAGATAATGGCCAAGTGAGGACAAGAGCAGAATGATAAAGGGCAATTACGTTCAGTTCCTTTGAGTTTTCTAAAAGCAGTTTTAGAGCAAATAGAAGGACGTCCTCTTTCCACAGGGAAAACACAACTTGCTGCTGCTGTTAGGTGCTGACGAGTAGCTATGCACAAAAGAACAAAACACTGCCCGGTCCGGCGTCATCCTCACAATTGCTACACACTAGAGTCCATTGCTGCTTCCACTGTGACAATCCATCTCATTGGGGATCTTCCTCTTTTTCACTGACCCTCCACTTTACCACACATTATGTCCTTCTCCAGGGATGGGTCCTCCTGATAACTTGTCTGAAGTAGGAGAGATGAAGTGTTGCCATCCTGGTGTCTAAGGAGCACTCTGGCTGTACTTCTTCCAACACAGATTTGTTTGTTCCTTTGGCAGTCCATGGCACTTTCAACATTCTCCTCCAAGACTATAATTCAAATGCATCAATTCTTCTACGATCTTCCTTACTGTCCAACTATCGCATGCATAGGAGGCTACTGAAAATACCATGGCTTGAGTCAGGCACACCTTAGTCCTTAAAGTGACATCTTTGCTCTTTTTAACACTGCCACTCACCCACGAGGATCCCTTCTTTGAAGGGCATGGTCTGTCTAGGAACACAAGGACAAAGTCCTGAAATGATGACATGCAAGGTGGGAGACAATCATCTGTGAGGCAGAGGAGAGAGATCAGGTCCATCTGAGAACTAAGAGGGTGTCCAAGTGGCTGTGAGATGAGGATTAGAGTGGTGTCTGATGCACAGTTCATTGTTTATCTGGTGGGGTGCTGGGCCCACTCCCTGCCTCCTCACACTGCCCTGGGACCTCTTCAGGCAGTGCCCTAGGCTGCCCCAGCTGTGTTGGGTAAGGATGTGCAGGTCTCAGCAGCCACCCCCTCCCTGATGTGGGCCACAGGAAACTCCCTCACGCTCGAGTTGACTGAGTACTTGCCCTACTTAAAATAAGAGGTTGAAGACACCCCTCCTGAGAGCAGTGGAAGCAGCCTGGTCGTAGATCCCAGAGCCCCCAACATGGACTGGACTTTTTTGTTGAACACCCTGCCAGACCTCATTCCCCAAATACCTACCCATTGAGCATCTTCAAGTACCAATAAAAAAAATGGAGAGAAGGGTAATTATCAGTAGCATTCCTCTGAGTTTAGCTAACTCTCAAAGAAGGAAAAAGCCCTCACAGTGCAAGATGCAGGGGCTGATTTGAGAGGAAACAGGTGGGGCTTGGAGCCACATGGAGTCCATCACTTCAGGACTGGACAGTTTAATGTCCACCTCACAACCAAAGGCCCTGAGGGGATAAATGGCTTGTCCTTGGCTCCCGTCAGCTCTGAATGGGAGCTCGATCGTGTGCCCCAGCTTGCTGGCTGGA